GCCCACCAGCAGGCCGATCAGTATTCTTCTGCCATCATGAGCACAACCAGAGCTGACCAGCCTGTGAAGGGGTAACACCCTTGCCCCCGGCCTGTGCGGTCGTTATACTGCTCCCAAACATAGCCAGAGTCCAGGTACTGCTGGAGGACGTTGCCAATGACGTTGGTGCGCAGCTCGTGGTACAGCCTGGCAGCCTCCTCCCGGTAGGGCCCCTCTGCTTGGCTGTAGTGATGCAAAGCCCGCACTGCAAGGTAGTTCATGTTGATCCAAATGGCTCCCCTCCAGTAAGGGGGGTCGTGCTCTGTGTTGTGCTTGAGGTAGAAGGGGCTGCTGCGCGACAGGGAACGCAAGCCAAAGGGCGTCCACAGCTTCTGCTCGTTCTTCAGGTCAGCCAGGAGGCTGCCCAGGTGCTGGGAATCGGGGCTCAGGATCTGCAGCAGCAGGGGAAAGAGGCTCACGTAGCCAAGGGCCCCTCCCACAAACTGCAGGCGGGGTGACTTGCGGACCACTCGGACCAGCCTTGGAATGGGCGAGGGCTGGCCAGGAGGAGGGGGCCGAAGACGCTCGCGCTCCAGGGCCACCGCCTGGGTGTGGTTGCCATAGTCAGCAAAAGTGCTCAGAGCCTCCGACCAGTGGTGCCGCTCGAGCAGTTCATTGTCTGCGAGCCACTTGGCCATGTGCGCGTAGTCGCTCTCCGGTTTTCCCACCCGTGTGGCCACCTCGGCCATCACAGCGGAGGCTACAGCCATCCAACAGCGCAAATCCAGGTGCCGCTCGTCCTCCGAGGGGTGGGAGGCCCTGGGATAATCGTCCAGCCCAGAGGTCAGGGTCTTAGGGTTCAGGAAAAGCTGAGTATCCTGGTCCCGGCCACGCCATCGGAAAGTGTAGGACAAGGGTCCCGCCTGCGTGTGATTGTACCAGCTGTACCAGCTTTGCAGGCGAGGATAAAGGCGGCGGAGGTAGTCCTGCTCCACCGCTCCCTGCCTGAGCAGCTGCTGCAGCACCAAGAACAAAGTTGGGGGGTTGCCCGCCTGGCTGTGCTGCACCACAAATTCCGGGGGCACCTTTGCCAGGGCTTCGTCCCCCAGGATCTGCTCGCGCGGAATCCAGCCCTCAGCATTCATGAGATCGAACCAGTGAGCCAGCACCTCCCGGCTCAGGGCTGGGTCCCAGCGGGCCAGGAGGAGCTGGTGGAAGCCTTCATCCCACAGGAAGCCCCGGGGAAAGAAGGAGCGGGAGGGCACTGCCGTGAAGAGAGACCCCACAGGGTACGGCTGGGGGGCCTCCGTGTGGGGGGACTGCACCCACGAGTGCCCATAGAAGTAGCCCATCCCGCCCAGCATGTTGCTGAGAAGAGCCCGGGCAAAGTGCTGCTCCTGCCCAGAGAAGCCCTTGCTGGAGAGGCCGAAGCTCTCCTCAAAGCGCCGCTCAAAGGTGGCCACGTGTTTGTCCAGCTCTCGCGTCAGCGTCTCTGCCAGGAGCCGGTCAGGGCGGTCAGGCACGCTGCCCGACTCAAAAGCCACTTCCACGCGGCAGGGCACAGCCACTGTCACCTGGTGAACTAGGAGCTGGCTGCGTAACTCTCTGTCCCCTGCTCGGTCGTGGTAGGCGTCCACGCCAAAGTAGTACCGCTTGGGGAGCCCCGGCGGAGCGTAGAAAAAACGCGGAGTCAGGCTTGATTTCACCACATCAGTCAGGCGATGCAGCCCTTCCGCCTTCGCCTGCAGGTAATTGTATCTAGTGGGAGAGAGAAGGATGTGGGCAATCTCTGTGGGAGACAGTGCCCCCCCCACTTCCTGAGCAACAACGTTCTGTACCTGGCATAAAGGGGGCTGCCGGCCTCAGTGGTGGGCTGCTTGAAAGTCACAGTGAAGTTCCCCAGTTCTTCCGTCTGTCCTCTTAGCGACGCCAGCTGACTCTTTTCCTCTATGAGAGGCTGTAGCGTTCCTTGCCCATCAGTGGCCATGTAGAAGAGGAGGGAAACAAACTGGGGCTTGGGGCCTGTCTTCTAAATGCACAAAGATGACACAAGAAAAGAGGCAACCTCCTTAATTTGCTTCCCTACGGCTGTGTTTGTAATTGGACACACATACACAAACCAAGAAAAAAACAGCCTTTATTTGCTTTGGAGTGGAAAATGTCAGATGGGCTTGCCATAAACTGGGGAAACACCTGAGTCGCACAAAGCCCTTTCCAGCCACAGGAGGCCGCAAGTTGAACTTCCAAACTTGACCTGGTATGGCAGCCAAGGGCAGCCACGTTGCCTAGTCAAGCAGCAACCATCCTTGTCCCACTAGTAAGGAAGTGGAACAGATACGTCATAATAAGAAACGTTTCACTAAGAAAACCCGTGCAAGTAAAACGGGCCCCTTTCTCCCCACTCACTTCTGGGCGAACGGTCACTCTCCAGCTCCAGTCTCCGCCGTGCTGGCCACCGGGACGCTTCACAAACTCCGTCTGCAGGCTGAAACCGAAGTCTCGGATCTCCTGCACCCCAAAATGGGTGCCATCATGAAGCAGCCAGCCGTAGCGGGGGAGACCGTCGCTCTGTTCGCAGGTGTGGCGCAGCCGGACATCCCCCTCCAGCTGGGGCAGCCACATCAAGCCTGCGGGAAGAAGCCACAACTGACGCCCGGCGGCAACCGGGCCACCTGCCCAACAGCTCGGAGCCGGCGCCACGCTCCTCAGCGGCCCCGCATTCGGGACCGGGAGGCCGTTTTCTTTTCCTCCAAGAGCGCCAGAGCCCGGAGACGTCCGATCCCGGCCTTTTCTCCCCCCACTCCCCCCGCCAAAGCCCCGGAGGGGGGGGTGGACAGAAGCCGCCGGGTCTCCGCTACTCTCTGGGGCCTCTCCGCCCCGGGAACCGCTGCCTCCCGCCGGCCCCTTTCCCGGGGCGCGGAGCTGCGGTCACCGCCGTCCTTCCTCCGCCAAGCCGGGGCCCGACCTCTCCCCCCGCCCGCCCCAGCAGCCCCGGCCCCGCAGAGAGAGCGCCGGGCTCACCCGCCACCGGCGAGCGCGGGCTGCGCGTCTTCAGGCCGAAGTAGACCTGGGGCCGGTAGGAGCCCCAGAAAAGGGCGGGCGCGGCGCCGGGGCCTGTGCTGCCGGGCGGGAGGACGCGGGGCGCGGTGTGCGGGGCCACCAGACGCGCGGCGGGCCCCCACCGGGCGTAAAGGCCGCAGCCGAGCAGTACCAGCAGC